AAATAAAATGTCCCTTAATGGTTTAAGAAAACATGTTATGACCATAAAAATTGAACAGAGTTCTGTTCTTTAAAGGAGGCCTTCCGTGGTCAAGTTCAAAGGCAGGTGGAACGTTTATTCCACCCAGGGTGACCACTACACTAGTTATTAACATGTTAATAAACAACACATTTTTAACATTTTTATTATTAACAAGTTAATCACCCTTATGTATATTAAGTAACTAATACCAACTTATGTGTTATTACCTTGTTATTAACCTTGTAACTTATTATTAGCATGCTAATAAACAATGTTTTCAACATTTTTATATTATTAACAAGTTAGTACCCTTAGAAGTATATTAAGTAATTAATGTGTACTTCTGTGTTATTAACTTGTTGTTACCACAATACCTAGTTATTAACATGTTAATTAACAAGAACATGTTTTTAACATTTTTATGTTATTAACAAGTTAATACCCTTAGACGTATATTAAGTAATTAACATGTACTTCTGTGTTATTAACTTATTACACTATACCTAGTTATTAACATGTTAATAAACAATAACACGTTTTTAATTATTTAATTAAAATGATAATAACCTGAGTAAACCTAGTCATTAACATGTCAATAAACAATAACTCACATTTTAATAGTTAATAAAAGGTAAAATATTTAAATTTGTATTAACTAGGTAATAACATCAGACACGTTAATAACTAGATAATAAAGTGTTAATAAGACATGTTTGTGCAGCTACAGAGTGTTGGATCACTGAAGGTCACCATCCAGCGGAGCAGCGAGAGCCGAGAGTTTGGAGCCACAGAGCGACAGACAGGTGGACTTCACTGTCACGTGTGTAACCTCACCTGTCGCTCTCCTCAGGTGAGAACCACACCTGTGCAGGTGTCTTACTGGGTCTGAATTCGTTCAAATCCTCTGGTTTGGTTTCAACGTTTCTGATGTGTCCAGGTGTTCCAGGAGCACATGTCAGGACAAGACCACCTGAGGAAACTACAGGAGCTCACACACAGCATCTACCTGAACACACACTCCCTGCTGGACAGGTACACACACACACACACACACACACACACACACCTGCTGGACAAGTAAACACACATACTGCTGGACAAGTAAACACACACACTGCTGGACAGGTACACACATACACCTGCTGGACATGTATACACACACACCTGCTGGACAGGTATACACACACCCCTGCTGGACAGGTATACACACACACCTGCTGGACGGGTATACACACACCTGCTGGACAGGTATACACACACCTGCTGGACAGGTATACACACACCTGCTGGACAGGTACACACACACATCTGTTG